ATCATACAGGCAGGAGTACTGTTGCCACAGCTCCACGAACCTTTCCTCCATCTCATAACTCCACCTAGCAGCACCATCATCTCTCCTTCGTTTCGCCATGTTTGAAACCTGTGTCTGAAAGAGCTTCTGTGCTGCTATTGGTCAACGTCACCAGTGTGACAGAACTCGTCGTGGACGACGGAAAAAAATTAAACATGCTAGTCTTTCTGTCGTGATGTCGTGAAGCATCGCAGACGCGGAATCGGTTGTCGTCCACTATGACACACTACACGAGCTGAAATGATTGAATCTTGTGTCCCGATGCCCATTGTCGTTTACCAATCCCCACGACACCCTACGTCAAGCAAATCGTGGCAAAATCGGACTAAAATCATGTAGTCTGAACCGGGCGTAAGATTGCCGTCATTCAAATGATGAAAAAGTATTGCCGTAAACAATGTATTTTTGCGGTACCACGAAATAAACGATAGAGCATAATATGGAACGATAGACTTTTAATTTCGTCCATCCGATATACTGTATATCGTCATATCGCCCAGCCCTAAACTAGTACTAGTAATTTTTGTCTTTGCAAGTTTAGTGTAAACAACGGAAGCATTCAGACCTGTAGGTCATCAATGGCTGTAGGAGATGGACGGGTGCGTCAGATCTGATTGAGACTGGGAAAAAAAGAGGAATGAAATTTGCCTGAGGAACTTTCAGAAGCTTCTCTCTGTGTGTGTGTGTGTGTGTGTGTGTGTGTGTGTGTGTGTTTGGTATGAGATTGTGCACCTGGAAACCATCTGTTCACAGCTAAACCCTGATTAGAGACAGCCTGTATGATCTCAGTGATAAATTTCCCCTGGAACATCTGCTGAGCTCACCTGAACACTCGTTTGTACAGGATCTGTCAGTGCTTTTCCAAGTAACTAGTAAAGTGCATTACTTTTAAATTTCTTTTAAATACTTTTAAACCTTCCTTCAGCCTGAGGCTTATTCATTTCGCTTTTGTTGTGAAAGGGACCCTTCATGACAGAATGGAGAAAAGTATATATATACTTTTTTTTTTTTTAATAAAAACAAATAATCAAGCCCAGCCCAGGTGACTGAAAGTAATGCAAATGTAACATAATGCATTACTTTTCATAAAAGTAACGGAATTAGTTACTTTTTATGGAGTAAAGCAATACTATAATGCATTACTTTTAAAAGTAACTTAATAATAATAATAATACATTTTATTTAAAGGCGCCTTTCAGAGCACTCAAGGACACCGTACAATTGAGTGATAATCATAAAATCACGACAACAATACAACAAACAACATCTTTCCCCAACACTGGCAACTGTGTGAGTGAATCTGACTCATTTTCTTCACTAACACATTGTGTAGCAGCTGTGAGGGGCTCTGGTCCTCGTGTGCTCCTTCTGCAGCCAAACGCTGAAGACAAGCTTGGTTTTCCAAAGGTCGTGTAGTGCAGTTAAATATGGGGTGATTTTACAGCGCTGCACATCAGAGCAAACTCAGCATTCAGGAAAAAGGGAAAATTAAAAAGCTCTAATTATAGTCATTTGCTTTCTATTTTGTCATTCATGTTTGGAGAAGCGGCCGTCTTTGACATTTCTGTTTCAGATGTTGAACTGTTTTCAGATGATCTCTCTGTCCTCAGGGTGGCCACAGATCATAATTCAGACAACACCACAGCGATCCTGCGCGAATGGCTCGTAAACGTCCAGAACTTCTATCATTATGTGGAGTGGAGACCTCAGGAGGAGCCCAGGTGAGGCTGACCTTAAACCACATCTGAACCTCAAGCTGAACTCGTGCGTAAACACAAACTACAGGATCACAGAAACATCTGCTCACGTTTCCTGTGATCTGACCAGTGTCTGCTCTCTTTCTCTTCTTCTGTTAGAAAACATATTTTGTTAAATAAATCCAAAATTGTTCAATATCAATGCACTATTGACCTCAAAATACATTGATCTTTTTTAATCTTTTATTTAAAAAATGTTCATTAAACATTAAAAATGTGACTGATTTATTCTTTATTGTCAAGTTTTTAAATACTTTTTTCAAGGTGAAAAAGTATATATATATATATATATGTATATGTGTGTGTGTGTCTTTTATGTGTGTTGTTTCAGTGTGAGATACTGTTGTAGTTTTTGTTGATATTTTGAATTAGATTTTATTTTTAGTTTCTCTTTTCATGTTTATTTGAAAGTTTTGTAATTTTGTTGTAATTTGGTGTTTTTGTCATTTTCATATTTTAATTAATAATTTATGCATTTAGCAGACACTTTTATCCAAAGCGACTTACAGTGCATTCAGGCTAATGATTTTTTTTACCAGTATGTGTGTTCCCTGGGAATTGAACCCACGACATTTAGCGCTGCTAACGCAATGTGTAACTGCTAATACACAATTTTCAGTAGTTTGTGTTGCTTTTAAATTTCACTGTAAAAAAAATCTGTAAAAAATGTACAGTAAAAAAACGGCCTGAACGTGAAACTGACATGAAACTGAATTAATGCAATAAACATTAATTTAACAACATTAGATGTAACATACAACTCTAATGCACAAAACTGATAAGAAAAAAATAAAAAGAAACAGTTATTTAAACCAAAAAAAAATCCAATTTGAAATGAAACGCAGGGGATTCTGGAAATGTCAATTTACGGTTATTCACTGTAAAATATATACTTCGTTTTTACTTCCAAAAACGGTATACTACCGTAAAATTGTAATGTCCAATACAGTTTTTCACCGTATATATAGTAGGGTTACCGTTAACCATTTAACATGTTTTTACTGTAGCATTTTTACAGTCTTTTACTGTTAAATTCACAATTAATTTATTTTTATTATATTATTTCAGGTTTTGTTATTTTATTACACCAAGGCAAACTAAATGAAAAAAAAAATGCTGTCTTGGGAAATAGCTGAAATAAAACAAGTTTCAGTTTTTTTCAAATTTAACTTTATTCCGTTAACATTGTAACAAAAATATATACAGTATATTGCACCACATGGTATTTTGCCACCTGTACTAACCTTGCCTTGCCATAAAAAATATTTTTTTTGTACATAAATTAAAAACATTTTAGTGCAATTAAGTCATTTTATGTATCAGTTGCATTTTAACATATATTTGAATTAATTGATAGGACGACAAATCAGACAGTAAATATGTGAATGCCACTTTGCCCTTGATGTGTGTCTGAATGGTTTGTGGCTCATGCATGTATTTGTCTGTGTGTTTCTCAGCGTCTATGAGGACGAGAGCGGCCCGAAGCACTGGACGAACCTGCGATACGAGCACGTGATGAAGCTGCGTCAGGCGGCCCTCGACACGGCGCGGGAGATGTGGGCCGACTACTTTCTGGTACATCGTCTGAAGTCCTCCTGTTTGTGTCTGAGACGAGTCTCTTTACCCTTCACGGAACTGTAATGTTGTCTGTTAGTGTAGATAATGTCACAGTAGTGTCTGGTGTGACCCGAACTGACCCGCCTCACGTCACACGGTCATTACACTCCAGTCTGTAGAGGGTCACGGGCCGCGTCCCGTCGCTCAGAGGAGCGTTTGCTCGTCTAAAGTTAGCAGTTGCTCTGTTCAGTATTATAGGGATATTTCTGCTGCTCTGTGATCAGCTCTGTTCCTGCAGTCCAGCGTTCGGTCCACACTAGTTTAACTGCTCTGCATGTGTTTCAGTGGAAGTACTCTGTACCATTATAGGATTAAACACACTGTCCCTCGAGCCGCCGCTGAGGAATCAAAACCACGGGCATGTATAAAAGTCAAACATCTTTCCTGGAGAACCATGTTGAGTTTTATCTTCAATAACTCAACAATAATCTCTTGAGTTCAAACTGTAAAAGTAGGTGTAGATTTGACTCAGAAATAGCTAGTAAATTTCTTCAAATAATTACAAAGAAGCAGAACGACTGAAATTGTATTTTTTCTTAGAGTGTTTCCAATAATAATTGAACTTTGAAAAGTCATTTTTACAGTGTGTTTCTGATTCAGGATCCAAAATCCAATTTCAAAATAAAACAGGTTTATACATTTTAAATGTACTTAAATGCAACCTAGAAACGTGTAATTACAAATTTATTTAAACAAGTTCCAATAGAAATGACATTAAAATGTATTTTAGTTTGCCATAAATGTTTGTCAGTACATTCAGCAGAGCTTTAACCATATTTTAATGACAAGAGAAGTAATTATGAAATTATATTTAAAGATGTACTTAAGTCCTCTCTATATTTAAGCTATAATTCATTTTAATTGAATTGTAAATAACCTCCAACTGAGTGTCAGAAAAACATTTTTGTGAATCGGATTAAAACAATGCACATTTTTTTAGATCTAAAATTAGGCTAAGTGACGTAATGTGGAGTTGCTGTAAATAATAAATGAAATGAACCTGACGGACTCGTGGCGGTGCGTCTGTGTTTGCAGATGGTGGACTGTGATAACCTGCTGACTAACCGGGATGTTTTATGGAAGCTGATGCAGGAGAATAAGACGATCGCGGCGCCGATGCTGGAGTCCAGAGCGGCGTACTCAAACTTCTGGTGCGGCATGACATCTCAGGTGTGTGAAACACAGAACTGAACACGTGTGGATCCTGAGTCTTCATTTCACAGCTGTTTTATCGTTTAGACTTAGTCCTGTGGCAGATCTGCTTTTTAGTTTCTATCATATTTAGTCAACCGTATTCTTAAGTCAAGTGCTAGTGACTAAACGTCTGGGCATTTTAGTCAATGAAAACAGTCATATTTTAGTCATGCTGCATAGTGGTTCAACTGATAATCACAATTTCATCACACAAAATTTGAATAGTTGTCATTAGAGAAATTTATTTTACGTTTCTGAATTATTGCACTTTCACATAAGCAACACGTGTTTGGGTTTATTAGTTTGTCACTGAGAAGTTTTTCTCACAGGTTTAATCGCAGTGAAGATCGCTAAACTCCAGCGTATTTTAATGACAAGAGAAGTAATTATGAAATTATATTTAAAGATGTACTTAAGTCCTCTCTATATTTAAGCTATAATTCATTTTAATTGAATTGTAAATAACCTCCAACTGAGTGTCAGAAAAAAAATTTTGTGGATCGGATTAAAACAATGCACATTTTTTTAGATCTAAAATTAGGCTAAGTGACGTAATGTGGAGTTGCTGTAAATAATAAATGAAATGAACCTGACGGACTCGTGGCGGTGCGTCTGTGTTTGCAGATGGTGGACTGTGATAACCTGCTGACTAACCGGGATGTTTTATGGAAGCTGATGCAGGAGAATAAGACGATCGCGGCGCCGATGCTGGAGTCCAGAGCGGCGTACTCAAACTTCTGGTGCGGCATGACGTCTCAGGTGTGTGAAACCCAGAACTGAACACGTGTGGATCCTGAGTCTTCATTTCACAGCTGTTTTATAGTTTAGACTTAGTCCTGTGGCAAATCTGCTTTTTAGTTTTTATCATATTTAGTCAACCGTATTCTTAAGTCAAGTGTTAGTGACTAAACGTCTGTGCTTTTTAGTCAATGAAAACAGTCATATTTTAGTCATGCTGCATAGTGGTTCAACTGATAATCACAATTTCATCACACAAAATTCGAATAATTGTCATTAGAGAAATTTATTTTACGTTTCTGAATTATTGCACTTTCACATAAGCAACACGTGTTTGGGTTTATTCGTTTGGCACTGAGAAGTTTTTCTCACAGGTTTAATCGCAGTGAAGATCGCTAAACTCCAGCGTACATGATTTCTGGTGTTTTCAGATCATCAGAGCTTTTTTCTCAGAGCAGAGAGTGTTTGTGCAGATGGTTGCCAGATTGGGAATATTAAGTAAATCAAAGGGTGGAAAATTAGCTGTTTCTGGTGGGGGATTTTAACTCTTGACATTTGGCAACCGTAAACAGGCTTGTTGAAGAATATTTCTATAATATATAGTAAAAAAAAAAAATTTTTTTTTTTTTATTATTTACATTTTATAATTATAAATATTTTAGTTTAGCCTTTTTTATATGTTTATATAAATTATAATTAAATATTAAGTAAAAAAAAGGAAGAAAATTAGTAATTTAGGGGGATTTAAACTCTTGACATTTGGCAACCACAAACAGGCTCGTTAAAATACATTTACATAATATATAATATTTTTTCTACTTTTTGTTGACAAAGATAAAGAGAAATGTTGGCAAAGTTTGTTATTATTATTAAAATATTTATAAATAACTTTCATAATTATAAACATTGTGTTTTCGCCTCTTTTGTCAGCAATATTGCATGTTTATATAAATTATAATGATATATTAATCAGAGTCATTGTTTAATGATGACAGTACCATCTTGTTTTAAGGCCCGTTCACACCAACAGACGATTAAGATGTTTACTCTAATTGCACACTCCAGATTTGTCATCTGTCACTCTAATTTTTCTCAAGCTCTTTAATGCTGAATGAATTCTGATTGGTTGTCAATATTTTTATTGTTAATCTGCAAAAAAAAACTATCTGTAAGTGATTCCATCAATATCGTTCTTCTGTGCCGTTATCGTTATATTATATATATATCTCTGTCGTTATGGTTACCGTGATTGTTCACACAGGACGAAAAAAAAATCCTCGCTTTTTCCCACCGCGAATGATCGGGATCTGTTGTTTCGATTCAAAAGCATCATCGAATTTTCGTGTTCAGTGTGAAAAGGCCTTTAGTCATGAAGAAGGTTGTGGACGGACATCTTTGATCACAGTCTTGTTAACGAGCGAGCGTGTTATTACAGGGTTATTATAAGCGGACGCCGGCCTACATGCCGATCCGCAGGCAGGAGCGCAAGGGCTGCTTCGCCGTGCCCATGGTTCACTCCACCTTCCTGCTGGACCTGAGGAAGGAGGCGTCCCGCGAGCTGGCCTTCTTCCCGCCGCATCCCGACTACAGCTGGGCCTTCGACGACATCATCATCTTCGCCTTCTCCGCGCGCATGGCAGGTGCGTCTCAGACTGAGAAGATTACATTCAGTTATCACGTGCGCTGCTTTTGCTTGAGATTTAACACCGTTTCCCGCAGAGGTTCAGATGTACATCTGCAACAGAGAGACTTATGGGTATTTCCCCGTGCCCCTGCGCTCCCATAATACCCTGCAGGACGAGGCGGACAGTTTCCGGCACTCGCTGCTGGAGGTTATGGGTGAGTCACATGACTGGTCAGTGGTCACATGCCCTTGTTATTCAGCTTAAAGAGCGTAACGATGTCTTTGATCATTGGGTGTGTTTTGTCTGCAGTGCGCAATCCTCCATCAGAGCCGTCCGTGTATCTCTCTCTTCCTCCGAAACAGCCGGATAAAATGGGCTTCGATGAGGTCAGGATGTCACATTTCTACCACACTATTTCACTTTATGTTTTATATTGCAGTATATTTAATTGTATGTTTATTATGCTTTATATTTTTATATTTATCATTTTATATTGTATTATTTTGTATATGTTATACTGTGTTATTTTATGAAATAGTATAACATAAAATAGAGTAATATAGCCATTTATATAAATTTTTATTTTTATTTTTTACATTAGCTTTGTAATAGTTACATTTTTACATTTTTGTTGTATTTAATTTTGTATTTGTATTTTATATTCTATATTTGTATTTTATATTAAATGTTATATTATATATAATTGTTATATTATATTGTATTATATTACTTTAATCCCATATTACATCATTGTATGAAATGGTATAAAATACTGGAATGCTTAAAGTGTATTGTATTATATTATATCATATTAATTTATGAAATGGTATAAAATAGTGTAGTATTTTTTAGTTGTGTTTATTATTGTGTTGTATTTATTTTGTATCATAGTATAACAATACAATTGTTTTTATTTTATAGATTTTTATTGACATTCTGTATTATCATATTATTTATACATTACATTTATTTAATTTTATATTATTTTATAAAGTAGTCAGATATATTGCTATTGTATATATTCATCAGGTTTATACATTACATATATTATTAGCTCATATAATATGTTATTCTGGTTATATTTCTGCAGGTGTTTATGATAAACCTGCTGAGGCGTTCGGACCGCAGAGAGCGCATGCTGAGGACTCTGTACGAACAAGAGATCGCGTGCAAGATTACTGCAGCTGTAGATGGCAAGTACGTCTCAAACACACACAAACGCCTTCTCTCACCTGTTCCGCTCGCACACAGACCATCTGACACGTGTGTGTGTGTGTGTGTGTGTGTCTGTGTGTGTGTGTGTGTCTGTGTGTGTGTGTGTGTGTGCGCAAGGGCTGCTTCGCCGTGCCCATGGTTCACTCCACCTTCCTGCTGGACCTGAGGAAGGAGGCGTCCCGCGAGCTGGCCTTCTTCCCGCCGCATCCCGACTACAGCTGGGCCTTCGACGACATCATCATCTTCGCCTTCTCCGCGCGCATGGCAGGTGCGTCTCAGACTGAGAAGATTACATTCAGTTATCACGTGCGCTGCTTTTGCTTGAGATTTAACACCGTTTCCCGCAGAGGTTCAGATGTACATCTGCAACAGAGAGACTTATGGGTATTTCCCCGTGCCCCTGCGCTCCCATAATACCCTGCAGGACGAGGCGGACAGTTTCCGGCACTCGCTGCTGGAGGTTATGGGTGAGTCACATGACTGGTCAGTGGTCACATGCCCTTGTTATTCAGCTTAAAGAGCGTAACGATGTCTTTGATCATTGGGTGTGTTTTGTCTGCAGTGCGCAATCCTCCATCAGAGCCGTCCGTGTATCTCTCTCTTCCTCCGAAACAGCCGGATAAAATGGGCTTCGATGAGGTCAGGATGTCACATTTCTACCACACTATTTCACTTTATGTTTTATATTGCAGTATATTTAATTGTATGTTTATTATGCTTTATATTTTTATATTTATCATTTTATATTGTATTATTTTGTATATGTTATATTGTGTTATTTTATGAAATAGTATAACATAAAATAGAGTAATATAGCCATTTATATACATTTTTATTTTTATTTTTTACATTAGCTTTGTAATAGTTACATTTTTACATTTTTGTTGTATTTAATTTTGTATTTGTATTTTATATTCTATATTTGTATTTTATATTAAATGTTATATTATATATAATTGTTATATTATATTGTATTATATTACTTTAATCCCATATTACATCATTGTATGAAATGGTATAAAATACTGGAATGCTTAAAGTGTATTGTATTATATTATATCATATTAATTTATGAAATGGTATAAAATAGTGTAGTATTTTTTAGTTGTGTTTATTATTGTGTTGTATTTATTTTGTATCATAGTATAACAATACAATTGTTTTTATTTTATAGATTTTTATTGACATTCTGTATTATCATATTATTTATACATTACATTTATTTAATTTTATATTATTTTATAAAGTAGTCAGATATATTGCTATTGTATATATTCATCAGGTTTATACATTACATATATTATTAGCTCATATAATATGTTATTCTGGTTATATTTCTGCAGGTGTTTATGATAAACCTGCTGAGGCGTTCGGACCGCAGAGAGCGCATGCTGAGGACTCTGTACGAACAAGAGATCGCGTGCAAGATCACCGCAGCTGTAGATGGCAAGTACGTCTCAAACACACACAAACGCCTTCTCTCACCTGTTCCGCTCGCACACAGACCGTCTGACACGTGTGTGTGTGTGTGTGTGTGTGTGTGTGTGTGTGTGTGTGTGTGTCTGTGTCTGTGTGTGTGTCAGGGCGCTGAACATCAGTCAGATCGAGGCGCTGGGGATCCAGATGATGCCCGGATACAGCGACCCGTATCACGGCCGTCCGCTCACTAAAGGAGAGCTGGGCTGCTTTCTGTCGCACTACAACATCTGGACAGAGGTGAGAGAGAGAGAGAGAGACAGACAATGTAATGATTTAAGTTATATATGTCTGTTTTTTTATTGAAAAACTAGTGTTTTTATAAGAAAGTATTGTAATATAGTTTATTTAGTAATAAGCGTTTTGTAAGGGAATATTTTAAATATTTCTCTAAAATAATATATTTTTCTATAATAACTTAAAGTATGGCAGTGTGTTTACTCAGTGTTTGATTTTTAGAAGTATTGTTTTCATAAAATACTACAAAATAGTGTTTAAAAAATATATGTATATATATATAAACTTTATAATAATAAAATAAAATCATTTTATAATATGTTAAATTATGGAAATCTGTTTATGTGTAACAGTTTACAAGAAAATATTATAATTTTTGATAAAATAACATAATATAGTAATATTTTAATATACTAATATAGTGTTTTATAGAAAATATTTTTAAATATACTATAAACTAATTATTTTGGCAATATCCTACTGTCATGGTTGCCTTCTGTGGCGAGACGAAGAACGAGGAGGCGTGGGATAAACTCTTAAGTAAATGTCTTTAATCATCCAAGACGGGATAAAGCAAGGCAGGCACAGACACACAGGAAACACAACATCTACGTTCAATACCGGACAAACTCAGATAACACAGACAGAAACTTAAGTACACAGGGTAATTGACAAGACACACCTGAGAGCAATCAACAATCAACACACAGGAAAACCAAATGAACATAAGGAACTTTAATAGGAGAGGAACATAACCAAATAAAGGTATACAGAAACAGAGGGAAGGCAGGAACAGAGGGAAACCAAAACAAAAACAGAGCATAAATGTGACACCTACATTACGGCATTGTGTTTACTCAGTCTGTGCATGGTTCTGTGTGTTAGATTGTGGATCGAGGGCTGAAGGCGTCTCTGGTGATCGAGGACGACCTGCGCTTTGAGGTTTTCTTTAAGCGGCGCCTGCAGAATCTGATGCATGAGATCGAGTCTCAGCGGCTGGACTGGGACTTGATGTGAGTACAGCAGTCTGTGTACAGCTCCCTCTACTGGACTCCTGACTCCAGCTGTTTGTCTCTGTCTCTCAGATATATCGGCCGCAAGCGCATGCAGGTGGACCGGCCGGAGAAATCTGTGCCCAGAATACACAACCTGGTGGAGGCTGATTACTCGTACTGGACGCTGGGATACACCATCTCACTGCGCGGCGCTCAGAAGCTGCTGCGGGCCGAACCGCTTCGAAACATGCTGCCGGTGGACGAGTTTCTGCCCGTCATGTACAACAAACACCCCATGTGAGAGAAGAGCTATCTCTTCATACAGCCGTATCATTATTACTAGTGTGCAGTTTGCCTGTTTCTAATTATTGTTCGTTCATGCATTCAATGTAATGTTTTATCCTTCTGATCAGATACAACAATATTTTATTATCTGCTATTGTGCAAATTAGTTTATTTTTGCTCCTAACAAAGAGTAGTGATCAAAAAAGTCTCATATGAACATCAAACAACACTGAATCTAATTAAACATCACAGAAATCACATAATAAACCTAAAGATCATGTAAAAAAAATAATATATATATATATATATAACCCCCGGCTCTTAATGCATGTTTTTTCCTTCTGGAGCATCAGAGAGCGTTTGAACCTTCTGTAATAGTTGCATAAGAGTCCCTCAGTTGTCCTCAGTGTGAAAAGATGGATCTCAAAATCATACAGTCATTGTTGGAAAGGGTTAAAATACACCAAAAATGCTGGAAAACCAAATAATTTGTGGGAGCTGAAGCATTTTTCTGAAGAACAGCAGACAGTTTAACTGTTCAGGACAAACAAGGGACTCATGAACAAATATCACTAAACAAAAAACACAGCTGTGGATCATTCAGGTAACAACACAATATTAATAATCAAGTGAATGGGGTCATTTTTATAAATTCAACTATTTTCTCTTGTGGACTATATGTAAACATCTTTTTATGTGAAATATCTTATTCAGGTCAGTACTAAATAAGCAAGAACATGCATTTTGTATGATCCCTCTTATTTTGGAAAAATAATTAACATTTTGCAGATTCTGTAAACTTTTGACTTCAACTGTATATGCAATATCTTGATTTTATTTGTTTGAATGAGAATCTCAAGAATAATCGAGATGATTTGACATTATTGACATGTTCATGTTAACAACCTCTATAGAGATGGTTTGGTTTTTGATAGTTTTAACCTGATCTGATGGGACTAGTTTAACGCTTGTCAGGAGTCCTGGCCGATCCTTTGTGCTTTAGTTAAATCGATGTGTTTATTAACATTTCATTCCTTTATTATTTCACTTTGAACATTTTTTTGACTTTAAGGTCAGAATCAGATCGGCATGTTTTTATCTGATAGTTTGCTTGCAGACGACTAATTTATTGCTTGGTGAGCTTGTTCGTAGTCTTCGATGTCAGTGTAAACACCGAGCCGACGGATCTGTTACCCGTGATGTGAACCACACAGAAGTGTTTTACCTTTGGTTTTTATGTTCTCTTGTTTTTTTTTCAGTTGCCTTAAGAGATTTGTATGGGAGAAGAGAAGCCAATTAAAACAAATCCATTTTAAAGCTAGCAACAGAATGCTTTTGTGGCAAACTAATGCTTACATAATGCTTAATGTGCTAACTCGAGAAATATTTAGTCAAATGAGATGAGTGAATATAATTTTTTTATGTATCAATCCTTTTTTGTTTCTTTCATCCTGAATGTGCCTTTTATACCAAATAATAAAGGATGTTTCTTCAAGTTTGATGCCGTAGATCCAGTCTGATTTTAGGAGCCGTCTGCTGTGATATATTGCTGCAGTGAATGGGTGCCGTCAGAATGAGAGTCCACACAGCTGATAAAAACATCACAGTAATCCACAGCACTCCAGTCCATCAGTTAACATCTGGAGAAGACGAAAGCAGTTTGTTTGTAAGAAACAAAGACATTATTTAGACTTGCTTCCAGCTAGAATATGAGTCCATAATAACACTTCCTCCAGCGCAATCTCCTGTTGTCTCTCACATCAAAATCCACCCACATATTTGTTTTGGATAGTTTTGGTTTGTAAACGGTGCTTGATCTGTGCAGGTTTCTTTCCTGATTCATGAGATGACTTTTTCACTGTAGAAAGTTGATGGATAGATGGCGTGCATTTTTGCAAGAAGCAACGGTTTGACGTTAAAACACCTTAATGATGGATTTGTTTATTCCGAACACGCACTTTTGTGTTCTCGAGACTGGACTGGAGTGCTGTGAATTACTTGTGGATTATTGTGATGTTTTTATCAGCTGTTTGGACTCTCATTCTGACGGCACCCATTCACTGCAGAGCATCCATTGCTGAGTGATGTAACGCTACATTACTCCAAACCTCAAACTCATTTACATCTGGGATGGCCTAAGAGTGAGTCAATTTTCAACAAACTTTCATTTTCAAACTAGTACTTTAAAATGTACATTGTAAGAGAGAAACCTGAAAGCTCACATTCTCACTTGAGAAATGACAGTCCCTCTCTCTTTCTCTCTCTCTCTCTCTCTATTGGATTAAGGCCTAGGTGTATTTTCAGCCAAATAAGGTTTATGGGCAAACTGGTAAACATGGTCATAATCCTTCCAGAGAGCAAAACGATACTTTTCATGATTAGAGCGAAACAAAAATCAATACTTGAATCTTGGCCATGCGTTTGCATGCATTTCTTATGGTAATTATCTTCATTTATATTAGCGTCTATCAGATGAAACACCTGCAGAAGACTGACAGTACTAATCTCTCTGTCTCTCACTTCCACACACCCTCCCTCTTTCTCTCTCAATAGGATTATGACGGTGGGTTCTTGTAGATTAGGTGGTCTGTTCGCCGTGTCCTCAAATCTCTGTGAGTGGCTGGAGAGTAAATAAACGCTGACAGAACGATGTGAGACGGTCTGGTGTCGGTTTAACCCTGTAATCTCCGTGAACGGTGCGGAACCCAACCGCACTGATCCGAACTCATGATCGGTTCGGTTCCGATCAACAGCGACTCTGAGGACAGCGAGACTGCGTCACTGAAGGTCTGAGAATAATTTATAATAAATGAGTTTTTGGGCTGTTGTTATGCGGCTCTACACATGTGCACAGTGATGTTTGTGCAATGCATTAGCCTAATTATTTTCCAAACTTTGTGTTTTTTATGATATCCTACATTCAACAGTTGCTGTATTCGCCCAGAGATCCGTCAGTCTCGTCCAGATTAACCATTTTAAATGCGAATTCATCCTCATACCCCCTGTTGAAAAAAACAGCATATGCTGGTTAGGTATGTTTTGACGCTGGGATGCTGGTTTAAGCTGGTCCTTTTGCTGGGTTCAATCCACGTCGAACACAATCTGTGAGTGTTTATATAGGGCAGGACTTCTCTGACCAGCATCTTCAATCTCATAGTTTGGATCTAAGATGATCTTTCTCCAGTTAGTTTGTGGAGAAACTATTAGCCTACGCAATTACATAGCTACTTGTTTTTTCCCCATTTTATTAAAAGTTTGTCTTTCCCTGCAACTTTATTCTTAGTACTTTTAAAACGTAAGACTTTGCCCTGGCTTATAACACTCCTTATGTTATATTCTGTTGATCAGGTTTACTTTTTTTATCCTTTTATTTTATTCATTGGGTTTTTATTC